CCAATAGTAGCTCGGCATCGGGAATCCATGAGTTTTTCAACACCCGAAGGTGGCCGCACAAGCCTAAGAGAGGGCGTAGGGGGTGCTGGTTCCTTCATTATTTTAGCAAAAGTTCCTGCGGCTCGAGCCGGCTTTGCGCCTTGACCCGGATGACATTCAATATCATGTACCCATGTTCCTATACGTATATCGGTTAATGGTATGCAATTTCCTATTTGATAATTTAGATCAAGTATCTCGTATATATAAGCAGGGGGACGTGGCCAAGAAGCAGCCAGCTAACTGCCCCCTTCCGCTCGGCCTTTCTTCGCTGTATGAATAAGGTCTTAGTCTGTATGGGCATTCTGGGCGGGTCGCAATAAGTCGCTGGTCGAAGGTTTAGACCAATCGCAATTCATCACCATCTTGCCCGCTTCCAATTGATGACTGGCTATTATATAAGTGTTGACCTAAGCCCCTGTGCTGGGGCTCGGCTCCCGAACCGTACGTGAGCTGCCTCGTACGGCTCTTCCTAAGAACTTGAAGCCCCCTCTCTCTAAATAGAAATAAAAAAAAAATGCATTTACAAGACAAAAAAAAGACTTTTTCAAAAAGCCTCCGCCCTCCTCTCCTATTCAACGGGGCTTTTAGAGAAGCAGCTTCCTTCCTTGACTTCTTTGCTCAGTCAAGCTTCCTTGTTCCTTAGTGCAGTCTCGGTCCATAGTTTAAGACTCCGTTCCTTATAGCCTAGTCTATATCTACAGCTGACGCAACTCCGTACCGACGCCTTACTACTACTTAATTAATTCATTAACGGCTAAGCGATTTTATAACCTGAGCTTTCCTTAACCAGCTGACCTTACTTCGTAACCTTAACGTACTTTCTTTCTTACTTTAGCATAGGCCTTCGTCGGGCTTTCGCCCCTTCGCCTATAGGCGGCGGCATCTTGGCTTCGCTATCGCTCATGACTTGGTATAGAGTCCGTGTAGTCGTCGGCCTTCCCACCAGAGGAAAAGGCCTATGAGTGGTCGGCCTTTCGAATGCCTCCTTCCTTACTTTTCTGAGAAGCCCTTTACGACTATAATATAAAGGACAGGGGGCTGTTCACCTTTGGAAACTTAGCTACTTAAGTACTACTCAATACTAACAAGGCGAACGGGGCTCCCAGGCCGGGACGTCTGGCAGAATGCTTGGCCTCCTGCGCTGGAAGCGACACCCGAAGGGTGAGCTTCCGGCGATTCGCTTTTAGAACTAGATAATTTAATAGGCATTCGACATTCTGAGCTGGAAGGGGGCAAGCAAATGAAGGGAGGCATTACGGGCCGACTACAAAAAGCAAAGCTTCGTAGACTCGACAAGTCGCTTATAGAGTGCCGACTACTAAGTGAAGACTTTCCACTTCATTTAATAAGGGAAGGGGGAGGGAAGCTTAGCGAGCTTTATAAGGCCGACCACTACATAAGCCGCTGGCGGAGAAAGCTCGAAGAGCTCCCCTTCATTCGTTGCTAAGCCAAGGTCCCAGGTCTCCGAGTCAGACCGCGCCTTTTCGAAGAATCCTGCACCCATGGGCATACGGCCCGGCGGGCCTTCCCTTTCCGCCGGAGCTTCATGGGCGTTGCCCCGTTCCCCAATCAGATGTTTGGATGTGAGCTATACTCCGCGAGGAGCCAAACGGGCGTATGGCCTTGCCTTGCCATTTGACTGACCTCTCTTCCCGTGTGACTAGGAATGCCCAGTGACAACCTCTCAATTGTCACCGCCTGGCCTCTCTTGCTACCATGGTAGCACCTAGTGTGGTCAGCACCAATCGTGTTCGGGCAACGAAGCTTACACTCATTCACATTGGTTCATCCTGCTATGCCCTGGGCCTTTTGCTCTTCTAACGTAAAAGGTGGCCGGCCTTTCGTCAAGGCCCAGGAATCCGCTGGACATCTCAGCGGCGGGATTGAATACCCGCATCCGATCGAAGTTCCATTGGAGTGCCCCCCTAACATAAAGGAGGGCTGTTTCTAGGTGGGTCGCTTCGCGCAAGACATTGCTTAGGACCAACGGGTCACACGACAGGTGCACGATCGACTTTGCACGCTCCATCCTTCGGCCCTTCGCCTATCGGCTTGGTAGTCAAGCTACCTTGATCCGTCTTTGGCTTTGATTCGTTATGCTCAGCAGCTCCAACAAGCCCTAAAGTATCTTGCCGCCTAAAACTCCGCCAAGAAAGCGCTGCTTTACGTTTGATCCTATGTGCCCAGAGAATGCTATGCGTTCTCCACTTTCGGACCTCGAAAAGAGAGAACGTGTTTTTTCCTCTGAGTTTCTCTCTCATTCGCTCCGCGAAGAAAGCGGGCTTTGCCCCAGCTACCACTATCCTTGGGAAAGCAAAAGAGCTACCGAAAGAAAGGGATGCAGCCTCCCCCTTGGCCCTTTTTGAGGAGAAGGCAGAGAAGAAAACATCCTTCGCGCAAGTTTTTTTGCTTCCTGCGCCCTTACTAGTAAAGGGGCTCTTTTTCCAAGGGGGCATTCTGGTAGGAAGGCCGACCACTACATAAGCCGCCATCAGTCCAGGAGAGAAGCAAGCTACCTTTCTTTGATCCGCCTTCCCGGGCAGGGAAGAGAACGAAAATAGGCCGCGGATGGTGGTCGTGGTAGATTCGAGGATCTTACGCGGCGGAGCGAACTCCTCTATCGTGTTGCATTTCCTCTGCCGGCGTAGCTGCAACCTCTCGATCCATCGTACTAGAGCGATCCGAGAAGAACGATTAGGATCATATTCTATCCTTTCTACAATGCCCATAGACGAAGTGCTTCGTTTCAGATCAATTCTTCGCTGCAATCGCTTCGATCCACCCCCCGGTGAAAAACCGTAATACGCCCTGAGGAATTCCTACCAGCAGACTTCCCTGTACTCAAAGTGAATTGTCTAAGTGCTCTCCCCTCTTGGCTTTGTCTCATTGTCTATTTCGTAATCATTCGATTCCGTCCGAATTAGCTCCTACTCCTACTCCTTCTTCTCCTTCATCGTCGTTGGTCCTTTTGACATAAGATTCTCGGCTGCTCAAGAGACTGACTATCTCTCTATTTATTTATACGCAATATCTTTTAGTAGCAGAGTTACTTCTGATTTCTGCTCGTAGTTCCTCTCTTGTTAGTGTACTCGTGGGACTTAGTAGTGCGCTCGTGATACAGTACTTGTGCAACAGCGCTTACGGCGTGCTCTCACCTGTACTATACCAAGGCATAGGGCCTTGCTGCAGCAATGGCAACAAGGAGACGAACCGTGGTAATCTTAGCAACAGGGCGGAACGTCTCCTCATAAGAATCCTGCCCATGAACCTCTTGCCACTAATCGAGCACCGGACCCCCCTGTCAACCCCTTTTTTAGAAAAGCCTGATTTGGATTCGCAAGTCTTAGAGATGGGCCTGCCTAACACTTTCTTCTTATTCATTATCCATCCATCCCATTTTTTTGTGTGTCTTTTTTTTTTTTAATCCAATGTTTACCAATGATAATTCAAATAGTCAAAGACGCTGTTAGTCACAGAGCCTTAGACCCGATCCGCTGTAACTAACAGCGCTATTTCTGGAAGACGGAACTCCGCCCCCAGGGGGTCCTAATTCGATCCAAATTGGCTTACTTTAAATACTCCCTGATCATGAAAGGCATTTTCCTAAAGAAATTCCAACATCTAAAAAGATGATTTTTACTCAAAAAAGCAAGAACTTTGATTCATCATCTAGTTCTAGGTTCAGAGAGAAACTACTTTCCCTATTGAAAAACTACTACAAGCCACTCATTTTTAGCTCGGAGTGGCAAATTTCATTGAGTTTAAACACTTAAAAAATCTACTTTTGATTGATTGGAAGAGAGACGAATGGGTGTAGCGAAGAAAGAAAACCGGAGTGCTATTTACATATAGATCTACATATAATAGATAGTGTGGTAGAAAGGTGCATCTAGTTCTTTCTTACTATCTATTGTATTGGATCTATATACCGCTGATTCCATCCAGTCCACTCATTTCATTTAAGACTTGGAATTGGAATCCCTTTTCATTTCTTCAATCATTGATAAGAACTAATAAATAACTCAAGTTTCATTCAAATGAATCATTTTTACTTAAGGTTTATACTATACTTATATTTGAAGTATAAAAAAGCAGTAGAAACTAGAAGAAACAGTGCAGTAGCAAAAAAGACTCGGTACTTCCATAATCTCATCATCTTGTTTTTTTTTTCATTCTATATCCCCCCCAGTCTCGAATCACAAGAAGTTGGAGCGGATCTTTGATCTTTTATTAGCATTCCCCTTCCTTGGATTGGGACGCATACATCGAGAATCCAGTGTGTGCAATTCATTTTGATAAGATAGATAGATTGCCCCCAATTAGTCATATAGGTTACAAAAAATCGGAGCTAGAAGAAGGGGTAGGTTGAATCTGAAAAGTACTCTGTCGGGGTAACTATGAAAAGTAAATTGCCTATAAAAAAATGTTATGTGCTCCCGGGAAAAAAAATGGCTACTCTATTCAATAGACCAGGAACAATCGAAAAAAGCCAGACCAGTACGGTATCTCTTTCAATCCTGAATATGGCGATACCCCGATTGTACCAACCTACATATGTCTCTCCTCCATCCATCGGTACTAGTTATTGTCATTTGGATTCCTCTTGACTTGATTTGTCCGATGACAAATGCGAAACGAAAGAAGGATCCTCCTGCTGGGAATTAGATCCTGCTCTGTGTCTCCCCTCTTCGCAGAAAATGGAGAGATGAATTGATCGATTCATCGGATCCTAGGTCGGGACTGACGGGGCTCGAACCCGCAGCTTCCGCCTTGACAGGGCGGTGCTCTGACCGATTGAACTACAATCCCAGGAAAACTAGGTGTACAGCCTTCCCATTTTTTTTCTCATTGGATTTCATTTGAACCATTTAGTTCCGCCGTGTTGTAACAGAGACACGAAAGTCTTTTTAAATGCAGTAAACTCAAAGTGGACTAATTCATGAATTGAATTCAAATGGGCCCTTTTAACTAAGCGGTAGAGTCACGCTCTTTAAACTAAGAATATAGGCGTAAGTCATCGGTTAAAATCCGAGAAAGGGCTTTTCTATTTTCCACGAAACTCCTGTCTTAGTCTTCATTTTTCAGCAGAGAATATAGATATGAAAAAAAAAGGTAACCGCCTGGCGAGTCGTTTTTTTTTTAGTTTTTTAGTGGAATGTTCATTATGATGATAAGTAGTCGATTAGGAGAACAGCTATGTTACTACAGGGTATACTCTTCCTCATGTTTCATTATTCATATTTTATGTCCTGGGACATAATAGATATTATATATACCAATTATGAATCGCCAAAGTCTTCCTACTTCTCCATTGTTCCAATCTGATCTGAAAAACGAGAAATCAATCAAAAGTCGGTGGACCTGAATGGAATCATGACTATATAAGCTATTCTGATATTAAGATTCGATATAGATGAAATCGTGGAAGCGGACCTTTGATTTCCTTGGACCACGTAAGAATTCGTGGTCCGATTGAATCTTCTTGTTCCTGGATGCTCCATAGAAACCCATCGCTATTCCTTTCTTCCACCGAGAAAGGTTCATTCAAAATCACAAGAGCAATTTCTCTTTTTTTTTTAATTCATTTTCATTTTCGTTATGGTAATGCAATGCAAGAGGTCTCGGAAATCAGGTTGTTTCTGATGATGAAAAAAGCTTTTTTTATGTTATGTGAAATTGATGAAAACCCGATATTTAAGGGTCGGTAATGTTAGAAGACGACTGCCGGTATCTGATGGTAAGATACCTATGGTCGGTATATCTTTGAAAGCTCAGACGGAGAGAATAAACGGACTCCTCGAGGGCTACTTAAGGCACTTTAGTGCAAACCAGAAGAACTGGAGCTGTTGGATGTTGCTCAGTGCTGACTTAACAACCAAAAAGCTCTGCGTCGAACTTCAGCCCCTTCGAGTTGGCCATGGGGCAACAGCCTCTTACGCCCCACACCATTGCGGCAAGAGGGGGCTTGCCCATCAGCCTACTTTGCCAAGAGGTGGCAGGAGCGCAACGACCTAGCCCAACCTACTTAGACAACCTAAAGGCTTGGCCCGGTCTGAAGGAAGAAGAAAGTAGACCTTGTAGAGAAGCGGATAGGAGAGGTAGCCTATAGACTCAAGCGATTAGCTCGGTGAAAACTCACCCCGTATTCCATGTGAGTCAGTTGACTTTGATTAGACCAGACCGACCCAAAGAGAGGAACGTGCCCACGAGGGCACCACCAGATGTTGTAGATGAACTTACTAAAGAAGAAGTTGAGTATATCATGGCTGACCGCACCATGGGCTAGCCCATACACCCACTGCACGAGTGGAATACTACTTAGTCAAGTAGAAGGGCCAACCTGAGAGCGAGGCAAGCCGGGAACGGGCTGAAACTTACGATTCGAAGACCAAGTCATAGACTACTGGACGTCCCACAGAGCGACTCTCAACGAGGACGTTGAGACTTTTCGAAAAAAAAATCTTTTTTTTGGCTTAATCCGCCTTTACTAAAGATCAAGGAGTACACTTGTACTCCGGCTAATAAGGGAAAGGTTTTTTTTTAATCCAAGTTGACTCTGATTAGATCCTTAGCGCAAGCGCTAAGTAAGCAAGCTCTCTTATGTAATGTAAAAAAAAACCGAGGAAAATAACGTCAAGTAGAAACGAACAAGGTCTTACGGCGCGATCACTATATTTTTCTTTTTCTTTATCTCTCCTCTATAGAAAGAGGGGATGATACATGGCGCGGCATACCTGATCGTTTGGCCAACGAGACGTACGTAAGTCGACATAGCTTCATGTATATGTTCTTTGGAGCTAGAACCCATAAATAAGTAAAATAAAATGAAATAATGGTGAGCCTAGGGCGACGAACATGGCTCAAGGCTTTCTATACAAAGCCCTTCTCTTCTTCACTCAAAGAGGCAATGCACTCTTTGAATGGTACTTGATTTCTAAAGAATCAATCTTTTGGTTAGAAGTTCTACGGACTTTATAAAAGGAAATGCCACGCTCCGCCTGTTACGAGATATGGGGCGTTTTAATCGAAGGGTCATACTTCTCGGCCCTATTACGGTAAGAGGCCAATGCACCAGCCAGCCGGTGTGGTGGCGAACACGCTGTGCTGTAAGCTAAGCTGTTCACCTTGTAGACGGAGGAGATATAGAAAGTGTGCCGTGCGTAATTCATAAAATTCTACAGTAGCACCAGTATATTATTCTATTTCACTTAGCCCGCCTCTCCCATGACTTTCCGGACCAACCAACCCGGATCTGCCCTCGAAAGTCTCTCTGCATTTTGGGAGCAGAGCATGCAAAATCGAGCAATGGATCTTAGAAAAATGAAATTTGGAACGGCACGACTCTTTCTATTTTTGCGCTGGCATTTGAGTTGTCTCCCCTCCTCTTTCAATCGACACACTCGACGCAGATAGGCTTCGGTGGCCTCGGCTTCCGCTTCTCTCAGGCGGCGACAGCCCCCACCTCCACAGCCACAGCATGGAAGAGCAGCTTCCTTAATCCGCACTACAACCAATCTAAATTTTCTCCAGATTGATATATGATGCTAAACCGAGACCGAGATAGAGAGAGCGGGCTGCCCCTTTGTTGGCTCTTCGAGACAAAAGCACTCATAGGAATGGTGCTCATTCCCATGTTCCTTCTAGTCTCGTTTGGTTTCGAGAGCCTCCCCCTCCCCCGTCCTTTACTCGTCTTTTGAAAGCCGTCATCCTGGATTTTTTTCCGTATGCCGGGAAAAGTGCCTCACCTTTCTACAAAAATGATTCTAAAAATTTCCTCTCGGGGGTTTCTATAAACTATAAAGAGAATGAAAAGTCCGGGTAGAAGCACAAACAAAAGGAGAGAGGAAAAGTAGAAAGGGGGGAAGAAGTCTAGTGCTAGTTCTTACTGAAACTTCTTTATCTAACTTTCATTTTTTTAGTGGTTTCCCTGTTCTCTTATTTGGATTGAAAGAAAGACAAAAAAAACGAAACTTCCCTTTCTTTCTCTTCTTTCTTTTTTATCCCTTCGACGAATTGCGTTTTGCCAGAGATATTTTTTTAGAAAGATTCTCCATTGGATAAAAAATGAAAAAATAGAAAGAATCTAAATAAAGGCGCATACGCGGGAAGGGGCCCCACTACTTCTTCATTCAGGGGAGGGACTAGCCTCATTACTTCCCACTGGGCGAGAGGTGCACCTAACCCACCTACCCACTCATCAATCACGGTGTTCAGCTGACTTGCACTGATGGATCCCTATTGTATTGGAATTAGGCGCCCACCTTTTTCATGTTGTCAACTAATCTTTTCAATGTTCGATTCTACTCTATGTTAGAACATTTCTGTGAATGCTATTCTGATTTAAGTGGTCTTATTCTGTGTCCTGTGCTAGGAAGCATTACTCCTCTTTTCATTCCAAATTCAAGAATACGACCGATACGATTGATTGGTCTGTGTGCCTCTCTTATTACTTTTTTGTATCCCCCTGTTCCTCGGATACAATTTGATCCTTCTACGGCCAAATCTCAATTTGTGGAAAGCCTTCGATGGCTTCCTTATGAAAACATCCATTTTTATTTGGGTATAGACGGTATCTCTTTATTCTTCGTGATATTGACCACATTTCTGATCCCTATTTGCATTTTAGTGGGTTGGTCTGGTATGAGAAGTTATGGGAAAGAGTATATTACAGCATCTCTAATTCGTGAATTTCTAATGATCGCCGTGTTCTGCATGCTGGATCCTCTACTATTCTATGTTCTTCCCGAAAGCGTGCTAATCCCTATGTTGTGCGGAGCTGAGCATCTTCTATTCGCTGGGATAAAGCTTTTCCTCTGCAGGGGCCTTGTGCAGTAAACCCCCTACGGGCGGTCGTCCGCCGTCGTAAAGTAGTCCCCGCGAAGCTTTCGGGAAGAGGGGTAGTCTTGTGTGTAAGCATAGCATTTCTGGTCGAACCCGCCCAACCCAACTAAGAAGAACCGAACCTGACAGACACATCTTTTTCCTTTTGGGGGGGTACTCCGAGTAGTGGGTACCTCGTAGGACCTCGACCCGCCTACTCGGGTCTTGTATGGATATGCAGGAAGGGGTGCCCCTAGGTGTGTGCAGGGGTTGTGTTTGTTCGCGAGAATGGATTCCTCGTCAAGTCAGTTTGGGGGGTGTGGACACACTTGCGCGAATTCGGGTAACGGCTACAAGGGAGAAATCGAAAGGAAACTGTACCCGACCAGGGATGGACGTAAACTCGTAAGCTACCGAGGGTAGGGATAATCGTCCAGGTCTTATTGTGAAACAAAAAAGCCGCCCCGCCACAGCAGGCGGGTTGGTTTCTCTGTCGTCGCCGGGGAGCTCTTGGTGAGGAGACCTTAGGAGAAGTTGCTAAAACAAACGGGAGGGGAGGATCGACCCGTTCAGTATAATTTCGAAGAAAGACTGTTGGCAGCAGGTGGAGACATTTCTTTAGCCTCCTTCAAAAGGAAATGCGGGCAGGGTTAAGCTCGGCAGAGGGTTCGAGAATAGGGTAGGGTCCTGCCCTTAAGATTCAGATAAGAAAAGAGTTCCAAACCTTTATGCATGCACCTCCGTACAAGTGCTGCGTACAAGTTCCGGCCAGGAGAATTGGGAAAGATCAAACCAATTTGAACCGCTCACATCACAGTAGTAGTAGCGTAAAGGCCGTAAGTCGGGGGGCGGCCATAACATAAGGCTATTACTTTCACATCTTTCTCTCTCTCTCTAGATTTCTCTAGAGAGAGAGAGAAAGATGCGTGAGCAACCCGACTGTGCGTTACATGTGCTCTACAGGTCGCACTCCATCTTTCTTCCCAACGAGCCCATTTCTCTTTTGATTTTGAAGACGGGCGTTGCGTTCGGTTCGAAAGGCATGGTTTTCAGTATGTCTCCAGAAGGGGCCCCCCACTAGTCCGGCTAGCTAGTGAGCGGTTCTTTCGGTCGAGAAGCGGGCCGGGCCCTACGGGCGGGCATCTCCCGCAACGCAAGCTGCATTCTTCGCCACCGCCCGAGAAGCAAAAGATTCGAGAGTCCAGGCTGAAAATACATGCAT